GCCTCAGAAGATAACACCTATAAAAAGTCCATTGGTTTGGTAAATGTTACTGAATCCTGTTATGTGCTGGGTAGCAAGGATAAGCAGTGGATCAGACATGGTCCCTAGCTTCTGAGAGCTCCAAGTCTTGGTTGCAGACAGACAATTTTAACACAGCATGATTAGTGCAGTAAGATAGAAGCAGAAGGGCCCATGGAAGCACAAAGGATGGTACCAAACCTGGGGTAGTAGGAAGACAAGGAAACTTTCCTGGAGGAGAAACCTGACTGGGTCTTAAAAAATGAACAGGTATTTACAGGAAGACCAAGGTGGGTGTGGGGCTGGAGAGAGAGGTTAGGGCTCGTATGAAAAGGATATACCCTTAGTGGAGAAACTCCTTGAAGGGCCATGAGCTTGGAACTTGGTTCTGGGCACATTCAGGGAAGCCAGGTGACCACCTGTTCTGGATGTAATAGAGGGGAGTCACTTCTTAGGGAGCTGGGAGAGCTCACTATTAATGTCTTTTTCCTCTTGGGAAGTCTGTGATTGTGTCAAATCAAAGGCAGGCGCTGTGCCAGAGAAGAGCACTGGGCTTGCTGGGCCCCAGCGGGCCAGGCCTTCTCTCTCACTCACATGATTTCCACTGCCTTACCCTGCCCTGGGTGATGAGACCCAAACCAGTCACCCTACCAGCCAGGACCCATGAGCACCCACACCACACCCTACCTTTCTGGCTCAAGCCCTATTGACAGATCCCCCAGAATCTGAAGGAATTCAAGACAAATGGTTAAGAGGATGGAGTTAATAAAATTTGAAAAATTGAGGCCTGTCACTCCACTAAACTTTTTTCAATACCACTGACAGAAACATATTTCCCCAATGAGTGACCTTCCACAGCTGTAGCGGGCAGCACAGCCGCAGCAGTGCTGCCAAGAAGCCAGTCTGCTATTTATCAAATATTATAAGCTGGGACACACTAATCTAGAGCAGGGAGGGGAGGGGAGGGGTCCTGCACTAGACTGCCTGGGGTGCTCCAGGTGTTGGCCCCAACCCCAGACAGCCAGTGGGAGGTGACGGATGGCCTGCGATTAGCACTCCCCACCTCCATCCAGCCCTCTCACTTGCTCCCAGAGGCCTGACCCTCTAGACCAGCTGCTCAGCCTGGAGAGGCCCTGGGTGGGAGGCAAGGGGAGGTCAGGCCAGGGCACGGGCCATCCTGATGCCCCCGGAGAGGGCAGGCGGGTGAGGCCCAACGTGGTTATTTATTGGAGTGTAATGGTTTGTGGCCGTTGGTCGTGAAGGTGAAATCGATCAGTTGTAGAAGTCAGGTTCTATCAATTATTACAGCAATTAGTCAAGTCAGAGCATCAGAGCAAGGGTGTGGGGGCTGGGGGCTAATATTAGATGGACATTATCCATGGTGCCCCTGCCTCAGCCTTCCTAAAGTGGGAGCAGACGCGCTACCCTGAGGCTCCAGAACCTTGGGGAAACTCTACTGGCTTCTCCCCTCGGAAGTGGCTGGGGTGGAGCCTGGCTGAGAGCTTCCTGGTCTAGGGACAGGCCCAGCACCGCTTTAAAGGCATCTCTGTGCCGGCGGCCCAGGTGCAGGGATGTCCTACCTGTCCCCATCTCATTCTTTAGGAGAAGTGACACTGCTCCTACTAGAAATTACTCAGTGGCCAATGTTTATGGCTCACATTTTTCATTCTGTAAGCAAATATAGATCACTGACAATACTTGTTTGAAGCGGTTAATCTCACCCTCAGTTCTCCCACTGCCTTCCTCTCTCCCCTTGTCTTTCTTTCCCTCGCCCCTTCTCTTTCCTGTTTTTTTCTTCTCTTCCATTTCTCTTCTCTTTGCCCCTCTTGTCTTTTTCTTCTCGGTCTCTCCCTCATCACCCTTCCACTCCAGCCCATATCTAGTGACAGAGCTCCCCTTGAGGCTGCCGAAAACACTTTCCTCACTAGGAAGGCTGTACTTTATCCTGTAAGCAGTGAAAAGCCACTGAAGGATTTTTCAGCAGGGATGTGTCCTGGCCGCCCAGATGGCAGTGTGGAGAATTGGAGTTAAAAAAAAATTCTGGGGTGGGTTTGACTCCTGGTCTAAGGAAATAACCAACTTTGTGACCTTATTTCAGTTCTCTGTACCCAGTTTCTATGTCCTTAGCATTTTAATTTCTAACCCTTGGGATGGTTGTTAGGATTAAATGATATAATATATATAAAGTGCAGAGCATAGTGCCTGGCATACAGTAAGTGCTTAGTAAATACCAGCGGCTATTATCACCACTTCTAGATATATATCCAAAAGATCCATGTAAAGACTTTGTACACAGATGTTCATAGCAGCATTCATAATGGCTAAAAGGGGGAAACAACCCAGATGTCCATTGGCTAGTGAATGGATAAGCAAAATGTGGTACATACACACAGTGGAATATTATTCAGGTATAAAAAGGAGTGGAGTACATACTACATTCATGTGGTAGCATGAGTAATACATGCTACAACATGGATGGACCTTGAAAACATTATGCTAAGTGAAAGAAACCAGATACAAAGGCCACACATTGTATGATTCTATTTATATGAAAGATCAAGTATGGGCAAACCTATAGAGACAGTAGACCGTGGTTGTTGGGGTTGAGGGAGATGGGGAGAAGGGGGTAGCCTTTGATAATGATTACGAGGTTTATTTTTGAGATAATGAAAATGATCTGGAATTAGATAATGGTAATGGTTTTACAACTTCGTAAATATATTTCAAATCACTGATTGTATACTTTAAAAAGGTATGTGAATTATATCTCAGTTTAAAATTATGAATATTCTGTAACAAATTCCTATTAGAAAATAGGATTGTGTATAAAAGTATTAATTGTGTTATTGTTAATAAGTTTCCTTGGCCTGGATCCTACTTCCTGCACTCTGCCCCTTTCCCCTCTTCCTCCTACACCTCTTCCTCTGCAGCCCAGGCAGACAGCCACATGTAAATGCTTAAATGTTTGCTGTTGCTAATAAGTACATAGGTTTTTAAGAAGCAGAGAGCTTCCATAGGAATGGTTTTATATTATGATATAAATGTTTCCACAGTCTGGGATTGAGAAAAGATGATTTTTAACAAACAGTGGCAATACACACTGACAGCCTTACCTGGGTATTTAGTGTCCCCAGCCAGCCAGTTACATTCTTATGGCAGAGACTGCGTCTTAACCTTTCTTTACTTCTTAGACAACACTTCCCTACCAAGAAAGATCAAGGAATGTTCCATTTAACACATAGTTCTTGACCATCTGCTGTGCTCAAGGCACAGCTTTCTTCTCATGTTTCTCTCTTCCTGCCTTGAGAGGAGTGCCCTTGGAGCAGGGCCAGTGATTCTTCTGTGTCCCCAAGCCCCACTCATTTAAAGTTTGCCAAATTGAATGGAATGGACAGTTTTTGAAGAGGAGAGTAAGGTGCTCAGACCTGGGCTTTGGAAAAGAGCTTCTGACAGCCTGGGGGTGGAGTAGCCTTTCCTCCATAACTGCCAAGCCTTGCACACAGTAAACACTGTATACAGGTTCGACAGCTGCTGGCACTTAAAAGAGGGAGAAGGTAGATGGATGGCCCCAGGCAAGCAGCTTCTTTTTGTCATACTTAAGGTTCTTTGTCTTCAAATCACAGGAACTAATGATTGGAGGGAAGCTTGCCTATAAGCACACACTCACCAACAGCTAGTATTGGTAAGAGTCTCGAACTGAACCTGGGCTGGCATAGCCAGGTTGCTGGGGATGGCCACACCCTTCCAGAGGACTCTGCTGACTCTGGCAGGCAGGAAATGCCAGAGAGAAAAGAGCATTAAGAGAGAGAGGCCCACCAGCTGGTGTGGCTCACCTGTTGAGCATCGACCCAGGAACCAAGATGTCATTGGTTCGATTTCCAGTCAGGGCACATGCCCGGGTTTCAGGCTCCATCCCCAGTGGGGATCGGTGATGTTTCTCATCTAATCAAAGTTTCTTTTTAAAATAAAATAAAAAAATCCTCACCTGAGGATTTTCCCATTGATTTTTAGGGAGTGAGAGGGAGGGAGGAGAAGAGAGAGAGATACCTCGATGTGGGAAGAAACATCGATTAGCTGCCTCCTGCATGCACTCTGACCAGGGGCAGGGATCGAGCCTGCAACCTAGGTATGTGCCCTTAACCGGAATCAAACCTGGGACCCTTCAGTCTGCAGCCTGATTCTCTATTTACTGAGCCAAACCAGCTTGGGCATCAAGGTTTCTATCTCTTTATCCTTCTCCCTTCCTCTCTCTAAAAATCAATAAAATATAAAATAAATACAACCTAAAAAGTAAAACGTTTATAAAAAGGGGGGGCAGAGAGCAGAAAGAAGGGAGCCTTTTAATTGTTTTGGGGGACATTCTGTGCTTTAGAAAGGAACCCTTTTACATGATTTTTGTGAATGAATATTCATCTGTATATGAATGTGTTGGATAACAGGAGTATTTTATTTATTGATTTTTAGAGAGAAACATTGTTTTGTTCCACTTATTTATGCATTTATTGGTTGCTTCTTCATATGTACCCTGACCAGGGATCGAACCCGCAACCTTGGTCTATCAGGACGATACTCTAACCAGCTGAGCTACCCAACTAGGACATAATGGGAGTATTTTAATGACTAAGGCCATTGGGGTAAAGTAATCTATATGTTTGGTACATTTGTTGGCATATTCAGCTGGTGTATTTGTATGTGCACAGCACACCTGTGTGCGTGTAACACATCTGTATGTGTAGTAGTATGTGTAGTATGTTTCTGTACACGTGGGAGCCCCAATACTCTGACCTCTGTGTCAGAGAGGGCTAAGAACTCTCCTCTCAGAGGAACTTGACATGTTCTTCCCACCATTCTACAGTGTCTTAAGTTTTTGTTGCTCTACATTTCCACAGGCATTCCTGACAATATAATCAGGGTCCAATCCCATTGATTGCTCACAGAGCCTCTGACCGCCTCTGACAACCTCTTTCTCCTCCTCCTGCCAGGAGCCAACCCCCTACAGAGGAATGAAATGGGACACACACCCTTGGACTATGCCCGAGAAGGAGAAGTGATGAAGCTTCTAAGGACTTCTGAGGCCAAGGTAAGTCTCAGAGAAAGGAGCAGGCCTGTGGGCACTCTGAGGCATTTAATCTTTCACTCATTAAACTATGTCAGGCTTCACACTTCCTTAGGTGATTATTGTCTGTTGAAAACAAATCCAACCCCTAGTCTCATCAAGAATAGGAAACTGTTCCTGTTGTAACCAGGAAGAAGCCTGAGCCACTTTTTGCTTCTGAGGATTAACCATCAAATTTAATTTTTGAGATGATGGACCTCCTCGTTCCTCTTCATAGGAGGGGAGCTAGTGAAACAAACTCTTCAGCCCAGGCCTCATGTACTCTATAGCCTCATCAGGCGATCCTCTCCTTACCTCTCCTCTAGAACCATTCTCTGACCCTCCTCTTCACACACACTCCAGAGAACCATATACAGTCTGAGACCTCCCAGCAAACCTTCATCTTAATTTCATCCTCTCACCCAAACTTTCTAACTCCCTAAAGATTCTTCCCAGCCGTAACCGGTTTGGCTCAGTGGATAGAGCATCGGCCTGCGGACTGAAAGGTCCCAGGTTCGATTCCGGTCAAGGGCATGTACCTTGGTTGCGGGCACATCCCCAGTGGGGGGTGTGCAGGAGGCAGCTGATCGATGTTTCTCTCTCATCAATGTTTCTGACTCTCTGTCCCTCTCCCTTCCTCTCTGTAAAAAAATCAATAAAATATATATATATTTTTTAAAAATAAAGACTCTTCCCAGCCACTAAGCTGTAGCTCAGGAACTACTTGGCACAATCCAAGAACTGGAATCACAAATCTCAGAGTTGGCAGGGACCTCAGAAATCATCAAGTCCAGTGATGGGAACTCATACCAAAGCCAAACCAAATAGTCAGAGGAAAATAGAGCTGTTCTGGTTGAAGGAGAGGCAGACCTATTCCTTTCCTGGCCTATCCCTCCCCTCCTGAGCAGCCTCCTTGGGAGCTCTGGTGTGGGGCAAACATTTTAAATCTCTGAAATCAAATGACTCATTTTACTTCTAGAGAAATTGGAGCCCAGGGGTGTGATGTGGCTTGCCTTTGGTCCCAGAGTAAGTTAGCATCAAAACTGAAATTAATAGACTTGGACAAAGTAAGTTTAGTGACAGGACTGGAACTGGAAGACCTGGTTCCTGACCCTGTCTTATGCTCTTTCCAGCATCATGGAGTCTCTTGTTGGCAGAGTGCCCTGAGATGATTCAGTGTAGCAGGTCCCACCTAGTGGCAAATACTCTCTGCCTTGAGAAAAAGCACTTAGGTCACTGCACTGAGACAGGATGTAGGCTGTGATCCCAGCTCCATCACTTACTGACTGGGTGACCTTGGGCTAGCACTTGCCCTCACTTGGTTTACCTCTGTGAAATGAAAACATTGGAATAAATTGTTTCTAAAGTTCCATTCAATATACGATTGTCTGTCTGCCAGTCAGGATAAACATATTATGCTGTTGTAACATACACCCCAAATTTCAGTTGTCTAAAAGAACAAAGATTTATTTTTGCCTCACACAGCATGTTCATTGCGGGTCGGGAGGAGAGGGGGGAGGGAGTGTGTGCTGTGCTCATTACAGGCACTCAGGGACCCGAGTGCAGAGCATCCATCCTGTGGAACGATGCTGATTGCATGGGAAAAGAATTTTCTGGAAGATCTTGCACTGCAGCTAAATGCACAGTCTGGAAATAAGACCCTCTACTTCCACTCACAACTCACTGGACATACTAATCCCATGTTCCTACCCAATCACAAGGAGACAAGAGTGAACTTACCATGTGCCTAGAAGGGGGAGAACTGGAAATACTTGGTAACCAGCATTAACCACAGCTTGTCTCCTTGGAATCCTTAGGAGACCATCTTGCAATGTTCGCTCCAGAAAATGAGAGGAGTTAGGAAGGTGGACTGGCTTTCACGGCACATTCCAAGGGGCATTTGGGACCAGCAAAGAGCAAAAATTCCATAGAGCAAATGCTTCCCTCCCTTTGTTCAGATTTCCTACCCCCAGGAGCAGCCCCTGAAGTCAGGTCAGCTTTCCCGTGTGCCTTAAGGAAATCCCCAAGCATGTTTCAGATAACCTTGGGGACTACGTCCCAGTCATAATTTCCCCTTTCAGGCCTAATTATTGTCCCCTGAGAGCAAGCACTGCACTTGGCTAAGAATACAAATGATTTGTCAGGTGATGTGATATAGGTCAGGCTCTGTTCTGGTCATGTAAGGCAAGAGAATGGGCCTCTTGGTGCCAGCATATGTGGACGGGTTAGAGCTGCTGAGGCACTCTTAAGAGAATTTGGCTGCCCAAGAAATGGCTTGATGTTGGCCACAAGGCAGTTAACAAATGGCAGTTGCATTGCTCTGCCAATCAGACCCTTCTGGACCACATAGAGCAACTGCAGACACTACCTTCTGAGTAGACCGAGTTCTTAGAGTCTCTGTAAGGAGGGCAGTAAGGGGGCGAGAGGAACTGCCTGAAAAAAGGCTGAAGGCAGTAGGGTCATCTGGCCCTGAAGACAGATTGCACTTAGGCACGTGAACGGCTGTGGGTGGGAGGGGAGGAGATTCATTCAGCAGCAAAGCTAGGACAGAGCCAAGCTTAGTGGGTGGCAGCTGCAAAGAGGAGCTCCCTAACAGAGCTGCCCGGTAGAGGCTAGACAACCATTTAGAGCCAGCCCTCGGCTTCTGCAGCCTCTCAACTGGAAGACTGTTTTTTGTCACCTCTCTGTACTTGATCCCTTCATCCAGTCTGGACTTCCTACATCTGGAATGTCTAGCTGTCCGCTCAACATTTCCACCTGATTGCTCTACTCTCCCATCAGATCCTAACCAGCTGAACTAGCCCTCAGCTCTCCCTGGATGTCGGCATCATTGTCTTTCTCTCAGTTGCTTAGCATCTATGTGGTCACCCATTCTTTCTGCTCTGTTTTTTTCCTCCAAGCTGCAAAAACTACCTCTTCAAAATTGTGAGGCAGAATTTCTGGGGAAGAGCACTACGTTAGACCTGGGTTCTGTCTCCCTCTGCCAGTAAGAGAGCAGCATCTGCTCCTGAGTTCAGGCCCTATATTTGTAACATAATGACTCAGGCCTAGAGCTTGCTGAGGCTCCAGCCTGAGACCGCATCTCCTGGCTCTTTGTCTAAACATGAGTTACCACCACTCTGACCTTATCTTACTCCTCTTCTATCCATCCAGTATCCTCTGCCACCCAGCTCAGCCTCTTCCACCTTCACCTACCACTGTGTAGTCAAATATGGGCTCCTTACAGAAAATGTGTAATTATAAAAGCTATCTGTCCCATCATAGAAAATTAGAAAGGTAAAATAAGAGAATTAAATAATTCGGTACATATTTATAAGTGACATCTGCATGCCATGCTCTGGGCTATGTGGGAAGAAGACAGATGGTGAAACACTGAAGGAGCTCACAGTCTGACAAGGAGACAGGCAAGCGAACCATGACACCACTGAAAACCCAGAGGTGGCTTCTGATCCTGCCTGGGAGACCAAGGGAGGCCTCCTGGAAGAGATGTCAACTAGCTAAATTTCAATTAAAAGCATTCTAGTCCTTCTACCTATTTGTAACCACTATTAATATTTTAAATTATTTTTAATAATAGTGAGTACCATTTACCAATGTATCCAGGCACTATGCCAGGTGCTCTAATATATATTTTTTCTAACCCTATAACAAACATATGAAGCAGCTCTTATTATTCCATTTTACAGATGGGAAACTGAAGCTGAAAGAAAGCAAGCAGGTGACTTAGAGAAAATCAAGTTGTTATAAATAACTATTGAAATATAAATAAGAGATTTCCTCTTATGATACTATATTTACCTTTTCGGACATTTATATAAGTGGACTTTTTGTATATACCAAGGATCTCAAACTGGCAGCCATATTTTATTTTGCCATCTAGAATTTTTTTAAATGTCAATGTAATGCTTTAGAGCAGCGGTTCTCAACCTGTGGGTCGCTGCCCCTTTGGCGGTCAAACGACCCTTTCACAGGGGTCGCCTGAGACCATCCTGCATATCAGATAATTACATTACGATTCATAACAGTAGCAACATTACAATTATGAAGTAGCAACGAAAATAATTTTATGGTTGGGTTACAACATGAGGAACTGTATTTAAAGGACCAGAAGGTTGAGAACCACTGCTTTAGAGGTTGGAGTGTAGACTCTCTAGCCACAGGCCTTCCCATTCCCTATTGTATGTGCTTGTCTGTCAGATATTTATATTTTCTACTTGACTCTCAAGGTGTTTGCGTTATGATCTAGTCCCTCATTTGGGATCTGCTTTTTTCACTTAATGTTATTTCTTGATGACTTTCCTATTTTAAAATTATCCATTAGCCTGTTTTTTTTTTATTCTGCCTTTCAAAAGGTGTTGCTTATCTAAAATTTCTGTTACCTTAATTGGCCCAAATGAGTTACTCCTCACTATTAGTTTACTTAGTTCTCTCGGCCTCCTTGGGACCCCCACGAAGATCCAGAGATAGATGAAGCCCAGCTCCTGTCCCCTGAGTGGGCCATGTGAGAGAGGAGCATGGGGAGAGGCGGGTACTCCCAGCTCTAATACCCACAGACTGACTTGTGCCTTAGGGGAGGGGTCTACACAGATTTTGTGGGGCTCCAAGAAAGCATGGGTCTCCTCCAGGCAGAATGAGCATGTCAGGCTTCATAGAGAAGGTAGCCTGTGATCTCACTAGATCAGGGGTGGGGAACATCCAGCCTGCAAAATCATTTGATCTGGCCCTGCCAAGGCATTAGGGGTGAGTTAATCAAATGTTTGACCAAATACAGCAGGCTGATTTTTAAGTTAATAATTTTGTATGGCCCGCAAATGATGTTTAAATATCCAAATGGCCCTTGGGAGAAAAAAGGTTCCCCACCCCTGCACTAGATGGAGAGTTTAATACTTAAAGCGTAGACCATTTTCATGTCTTAACTAAGTGACGAAGGAGAGGTAGAAATATATCTCTGTGCACATGATGGCAGATAAAACAAAAATATGGGG